TGGGGACAAGGCCTAAGCTTGGCTCTACTTGCAGTCCTCTTAGTTCTAAGAAGCACTTAAAAAGAAAGATGAAGAGTATGACGGGGCATACAATGTGACGATCTCCCAACCGACCTGTCCAGTTATTACAGGCCACCCTTCTTGTCTATATTAAATGTATCATAGAGCAGAAAACACATCAGGAGAGAAACTGAAGGACAAGGGGGTAAAAATCTTCAGTGGATTTTCAACTCAAATAGAGCTCTTCGAAGGAAAGCTATTTAAATCTGAGATGTTCCTAATATTAATTATCCTGAACATCTCGCAGACTCAGATTCACATGCTACAAAGAACACAAAGCCTTTTAATTTTCCTACCTGTCCCTGAGACTAGCAGTAATAAATCAGATATACAGAGAAACCACATGTGACTAACAAACCAGCCCATTAGTGGGGAGCAAAGATCGTCTGCCAAGATGACTTATCTGGACATAGTCACACATCATAACCAGCAATGTCCTGGAGGCTTAAGACAGCAGGCATGGAAGGCAAGAGCTGGGGCACTCCCTGCCAAGTCTCAGGATTCCAGGGTAACTCAGGCATCCTCCAGATGCCTGCTTTCCAGGCATGAAAGATTTTACTCACGGCTGCCCCCTCCCCAGTCCCTTCAAGTTGCACTTGGAAAATTACTGCAACTTCTAAAAGGCTTCTTGGGTCACAGAGCTGCTGAGCCCCCAAACCTTGCTATGGTCTCTGCTCTGCAACTCTTGGAATTCAGGAAGAAGTCCCGGCCTCTGCCACCAGGAACCTTAACTTTTAGTTAAATATCTTTACTGTAGCCACTCATTCAAGTACCTGGGCTCCAACGAAATGTCAGATCCTATCCTAGGTGCTTGGGCAGATCCATAAATGAAGCAGGTGGGAACAGATGGAAGAGAAAACTTCCCTAAATGCCAATCCCTTCATTTACCATGAAAAGTGAGGCACAGTGACAAATAGAAATTTTCACCTGAGGTCAGGGTTGAAGGCTTGGCTAGGGCCTGAACCCAGGCTAGACACTCAAGATGACTGTGACATACAGTGGTGCATAAGCGCACATTCTTCATATAGGTGAGGGGCAGCCCCACTCTCACTGCCCAATTCCCTTTAACAAAAGCCCCCTTTACTGGAAGGGACAATTGAGGTTCTCTAGATCAGCAACCAGCCATCATCAGTAGGACCCAACACTGTCTGAAACCTTTTATTGGGATGTAAGCCTGGCAAGCTATTCACTCCCAACTCTTGTCATGTGTTCAGTTCAGTTCAGTCGCTCAGTCATGTCTGACTCTTTGCGACCCCATGGACTGCAGCACGCCAGGCTTCCCTGTCCATCACCAACTCCTGGAGCTTACTCAAACTCATGTCCACCGAGTTGGTGATGCCATCCAACCATCTCATCCTCTGTGGTCCCCTTCTCCTCCTGCCTTCAATCTTTCCCAGCATCAGAGTCAGCTCTTTGCATCAGGAGGTCAAAGTATTGGAGCTTCAGCTTCAGCATCAGTCCTTCCAATGAATATTCAGGACAGATTTCCTTCAGGAGGGACTGGTTGGATCTCCTTGCAGTCCAAGTGACTCTCAAGAGTCTTCTCCAACACCACGGTTCAAAAGCATCAATTCTTGTCATATATGAGAAAGGTCTATTGAACTTGAATAGCAACCTACCTATGACCCTAACATAATTATGACAATAATTTCCTATATTATCATCAGATCTGTAAGGGAATGCAGTCTGCAAGCTGTTTCTCATTCTTACCAACCTCTTTACTCTCCAAATGAACCCAAGATGAGCATCTGTCACTGTTCAGTACCACGTGACAGGAATACTTACCTATGTGGTGCTAGGGATACAACAGTGAACACATCACCATCATCAACAAGAGCACAACACTGTCCCTAACTTCAAGGAACTGAGACATGCTGAAAACAGGGCTGGGAAAAACCCAACTGCTAAGGAGTCCCCGGCCAGACTGGCAGTCTACTTAGGGGCCGAATCTGGAAGCAAGAGTTTATGTCTCTTTTCCTCTCTCTCATCGCACTTTACAGAAGGAAAAATAAGGTCCAGGAAGGAGAGGAGGTGGCTTGTCCAAAGTCAGACAGTTGATGATTGAGCTGACACTTGAATCCATGTTCTCTGGGTTCCCCTTTTCACCACACCGCCTCCTCCAAGGTTCCAAAATTACAAGTGAGGAGAAATCGTTGGTTCCAGTGACAGATGGTTTCCTGATGTGTGAACAACCAGAACAGGCAGCCTCAACCCATCTTATCAGCAGAGACCTTGTGTCCACGTCTATCTCTCACACCAGAATGTTCATAAGTATACTTCGTCGATCTAGAGCCTGAATGACCAGTCTTCATTCACTCTCATTTATCACCCTCTCTGAATCACTCCTGATGCTTACTTTTGCTTTACAAACCTCATCTTATAAGAACAGAGCCCTTTTTATCTGATGCTAGCTCCCCCTCTGTTCCTGGGGTCTAATCAATCCACGTCTGGAAGTAAACAAGCCAGGCAGGAAAGCAGCAGTCCCTTTTCTGAAAACAGGCACCTTTCTAAAATGATCTGCCCCTGGGCTTGGCACAGATAGAAATTTAAATGAGAAGGAAATAAAGACATCCTCCGGCAACAGGCAAACGCATTCCTCATCAGGTGGGACACCAGGGAAGTTAACTCTGTGTTAACAGCTAAACCAGACACTGCCCACATTTTTTGTTTTTTTCGGGTTATTTGGGGAGGTGGGGAAGGGAGGGGTTCAAACTCAAGACACCTGAAGAGACAATAGGCTTCAAAATATAATAGCATATATAGTCCTGTCCCCTCTGTTCTGAAGAGCTTGAGGTCTTCAAGACAGTGAAAGAGGGCTCTTTGAATTGAGGGCTCTTTGAATCTATACCTTTAGCATTGAACAACTAAGGGTACAGACAAGCAGGCTTCTATCTACTACCAGGGGTGTACAGAGACGCCAGACAGAAAGATCCAGACACCTGGCAACTAACACAGACCTCCACCCATTGTGTTACTTTATGCTCACCGGCACAGCAGAATTTCCACACCTCCCACCATCCCCAGCCACTGCAGTAAGTCACTGCCCACAGCCTTTGCCCTCGAGGGAGGTTCTCTAAAGGGGCAGAACTTGGTTCCCCATTAGCCAGCCCACTCTTCCTACCATGGCTCCCAACCAGAGGCTTTCAGAAATGGGTCACAGTCTTAGATGCAAATGCAGAAAGCACTGCTTCCGAAGAGGACAGTAGTTAATTCTTAATCCTTTGGTGGATCTTTTTGAAAATCTAATGGCAGCTCTACACCCCATGAAAAACTGTAGGCATGCACTTTATATGTAATTTCACTGGGAGTCACTGCCTTCCAAGGAGGTCTGAAAGGGTTAATGTGCTCAGAGGCAGTTTTGGGAAACAGAGCTGGAGTGGTTCAGGTGAGTATTCAACAACATAGCTCCTTAACCCGTGGGGGAGAAATGATGCCCCTTTCTTAGCTACTGCAAGTTCCAAGCTTCAATTAATCTTTGGGATTTCAGTAAGAATTTGGAAACTGACAGTGCACACTCGCACACAAGAAGCAAGGACTCATCTTTGTGATTTCCAATCCTGACATCACAAAATGTCCAGCAACTGCTAGTTATTCAGTAAGATAGAATCTCCACAGGGCTTAGCCATAGAAAGCTGAGTAACAACAGCAGAGATAACTAAGGGAGAGGTGGGCTCTGGGAGCGAGGGTAGACTGGACAAGGGGAGGAGGGCAGCTCAGCTCTCCGCTGGCTCTGAGCAGGTCTTGGCAGGGCAGGTCCTGACCCTTGCTGCCTGCTCTCCCTGGAAATCAGAGCAGACTTGCTGACTGCTCTGCAGCAAACCAAGAGGTCCAGATAGAAGCAGTCCCTTCCTTCTGGGTCCACGGGGACAGGGGAGCATCTTCTCGATTCTAGGGAGGAGACCCTGGCCCACTGCTTGCCCACAGCCCCCTCGTGGTCCGGGGGTGTCACTGCAGCCCCCTCCGCAGTGCTGGGCAAAATCCTCACACAGGCGGCTCCAACAGCAGGCGGCTCTAACAGTGGCTGAGCAGAACATTTAGTTATCAGTGGTGGCTTGGCAACTGTCTCCAAGCCATGGTGAGGCTGCATTTGCTTTTGGTGTCTTAAACTAGGACTCAGATTCAGACTCAAAGTGATCCATCTAACCCCTGTCTGGTACAATCCCTACAGGAAACCAGTCCAAGACCTGCTTCATTAAGCCAATAACCTCAGAGCTTCTGTATCATTACCACTACCTTATTGATCACTGCTCCTTGTATCACATGCAATTATATACAATTGTTCCAAAGCTCGATAGAAACAGTTAGCAAGAATGTAGGACATCTTCTGGCTTGTGGGTTGCTGACTAGATTACAAAATACTTGCAGGACATGAAGTATCCCCCAAATTCTAGATTTCCGGGTAGCAGATCCTAAAGGGGTTTAGGAGATGTCATGACTTCAGGACTCACAGTGAGAAAGAACATGGCCCTTGGCCCCTTCAAACAGAAAGGGTGCCCATTAATGAACCCCACTCCCGTATTCTTGCCTCAAGGCTCCCCTGGACAGAGGAGCCTGGTGGGCTACAGTCCATGGGGTCGTAAAGAGTTGACGCCTGAAGCGACTGAGCACACATGTATGCATGCAGCAACTCCACAGAAATCTTGTTAGCATCTCCAAAAGGGAGGGAGCAAGGCCCACCTGGGCTCAGGACTGGACTGGAAAGGCCAGAATCTGGGGGTGAGGGAAAGTTGGTTTAGGGCTTTAGCTACCATCCATCAGGAATGCAGATGGTTAACTGAACCCAGCACTGGAAAAGTGTGCAGGAAGGAGTGAAGGTGGGAAGTTTGGGAGGAGGGCCTCGAGTAGGTCAGGGAGCCCGGGAGTGACTGGGGGTGAGTGAGGATGGATGGGAGCACAAGAGCGTCTTTTAAAATATTCTGTGGAAGGAGGAGAGTCCTTACCTCCTTGATTTTCTCCCGCTGGGTCTGAACTAGGCTCTGGGGCCCCTTACTCCCGTCGGCCCTAGTCCCCAGGACCGGGTGGCGAAGGCGGCTCCGGAACGCCTTGAAGTCAAAGCTAGAGGGGACGCTCCCCTCCTGGGGTCTGAGGGCCGTGGCGCCGCCGCCCCGGGTCGCCGTGGCTTCCTCCCGGGGTCCGGTGGGGTGCGTGCGGCGCAGCCAGCCTTTCCTGCGCCGGGAACTGGCTTGGCTGCCGGGGTCATCCTCTCCCGGGGCTGGAGCCGCGGGGGCCGGGTTGGGAGGTGACTCCTGTCCGCGGGCCCGCGGGTGGCTGGCGACTTGGGCCACTGCCTCCAGGCTGGGCTGCTGGGTCCGAGGGGCCAGGAAGAGGCGCTTGAGGCGAGACGAGTTGGGCAGCAGGAACAGGGCCCCGAAGCACAGGGTGACCAGGCCGGAGAGGAAGAGGAGGAAGACGAACTTCTGCGGCAGCCGCAGCCCCCACGGGGAGGCCGGAACGAAGCCGGGCACTTTCCTCACGAGCATCGTGACCAGGCACGGGGCTGGGGCACGCTCAGCTCCGGCCGAGCTCCTGAGGTCCTCGGAGTCCAGGCACTTGTCAGCAGCGGGGCTCGGCGAAAGGAGGTCGTCGAGGGCGCGCCGCCCGGGGTGGGGGTCCCTGAGAGTTTCGCCCTTTGGGGGGCTTGTTCCCGAAGTTCAGGGAGTTTAGAGAGAGTCCTCCCGCGCCGGGACAGGGGGAACGGCGGCGGCCTCGGCGGGGCCCGGGCGAGCGAGGCAGGAAGGCTCGGGGCCCGGGCCCGCGAGGGTCGACCGCGCGCCGCAGCCTTCCCTCCGACCGCCGCGCCGCCCCTCCTCGCCGCGGCCGGAGCCCGCGGGGCCCGCGCCCCTTCCCGCGCTGCGGCCGCCACCGGAGCCCGTCACATGCCGTCCGCGGCGCCCAGGCTTGTCCGCGCGGAGGGGCGCCCGCAGGCCTCGTCCCCGAGCCGAGCCGCCCTCAGAAACCCCCCACCACCCCGGCCCAAAGTTTTAGCCTCAGGAGCAGTTTCCAGAAGGGGTAGACTCCCGTGGCGGGGGGGACGACGCGGCCGGGCTGTCAGTGGCGCTCCGAGAGCGCGCTGGAGCGGCCGGGTCGCGACAGCCCCGGGGCTTTGGCTATCGGGACACGTCCACAACTTTCCTTCGCCGTCGGGCGCCGGGGAGCTGGGGGTGGTGGTGGTCAGGCACTTCTGAGCCAGGTGGGGCAGGGTGGGGGGGCTTCAGACGGGACCCGGGAGCGGAGGGATGCCTGAGCCAGGTCCGGAGCGCAGAGCCGTTCGCGACCAGCCGCGGCGGGGGCGGCTGCAGCTGCGCTGGGGACGGGGTGGGAGGAGCGGGAGTGCGGGCTCCCGCCCCGCCAACTCTCGGTAGGGCTCCGGGTTCCCGCTGGGATCACCTGTTCCCGGTGCCCGCCGGCTCCGCGGAGCGCGCAGTCCCGGCTGCGCCTCCCCCGCTGCAGCTGGCTTCCTCACCGCGGCCGCTCCAGACGGAGGCGACCCGGGATGGGGAGTGTGCTGGGGCCTAAGCCCGAGTCCGGGAGAGGGCCCGGGACTCCAAGCCACGCCCCCTCCCTCCAAGGGCCGGCGCCGCCGCGCACACGCCCCCCCCCCGCAGCCCACCAGCACCAATGGTCCAGCTGCGCGGGGTTGGCGAGGGCGGGGGCGTGGAGAGCGGCGCGAGGTCATTGGCTGCCTTGCAGGGATCCCCGTTGGGCTGCGGTCCCCCATTGGTTAATGCCCAGGATTCGCCGGACTGGGAGCAACCGAGACACCCCCCCACCTCCGCCCCGCTTCTTGCCCCCACCCGCGTGGCTCAGGTTGTTGGTCTCCTGGAGCGGACAGAGGACCCAGCCGGTCTGCTAGGGCTCCGGCGGCCGCTCGGTAACCTCACTCACCCCCTCAGTGCCAGTCCAGAATTGGCAGGGAGCCGGGGGCTTGCCCGGGGGTCCCAGAGCTTCCTCGGGAGCCGTGGAGGTGCTGCTGTGGTCGGCTGTGAGGAAGGGCTGGCTGAATCCCCCGGCTAGGGAGCTGTGGCCACGGTGGGGCTGGGTTCAGGCAGGGTTTCCACCGGACGCCGCCCCCCACCCCGCCCCCGCACCGGCAGACCACAACTCTGTCTTCCTTTTCCTACGGCCCCAAACCAGGCCGGGGCCCCTGGGTGGGGCAGGGAGAGACGCTAACCGCAGCGGAGCAGCGTAGGGCAAGGAAGGAGAGAGAACCTTGGTCGTGTGCGTAGAAGACCACACACATCATGTGACATGCCTACCCAGATGCCTGCGTGTGTTTATGTGCTCGTGTGTGCTTCTATGCCTAGATGCAGACGCGCGCTCGGAGATTTCATGTGGGTGTGTCCCTGCACACAAACTTACGCTTAATTTAGGTAGAAGTGATTTACCAAAGCGCACGTAGACGTATATGCATATTATACATGTGCTAATTTACATATTAGTATAAATAGTGACACGTACACACATCCCCACATGATACTTACACAACAGGTCCAAGAAACACACGCGTGTACACACTACCAGGCATAGAGACACAGGTGTCTCCACCCCAAGGTCCTCACCCTTTCCTCCCTTCTCCTCCTATTAAACCTAACCCAAGGCAAAGAAACACTGTGCTGTGTGGGTCTTTCATGCAAAACACTTTATAGAGACAAATAACAGCAGAGGGAGAGACAAATTAAGAGGTGTAATAGGCAAGAGGGAAAATATCTGCTTTCAGCTGCAATTTAAAATGAAATGCAGCGTTGATGAGACAGAAAATACTGCAGGGAGGCCTTTCCAACAGAAGCGGCCCAGGCGGCTCTCACCTTGTAAATCTTGCTTCTTCCCTGAGGCCTGTTACCGGTGGGACTCTGACATCCTTCTGCCTCTGGCCAGGCCGCTGACAGCAGACCCTCCCCTGATGTTTAAATACCTTTGGCATGTCAGTGTCTTTCCGTTGAAAAGAAAAGATTGCTCTGGGTAACAGGTGCAAATATTTTGGTCACGGGAGATGCATAGTCTCTCCCCACCCTACAAGCACACCCAACTTAAAAATGTGAAATGCCAGGTGAGGTGTTTCAGTCTCTCATGAGTTTGACTGGCAGGAGTCAGGTGCCTGGAACCAGCTGTGAACATCAGAGACAAGCTTGTGGTCCACTTGGAGGCAGGAGCCCAGAAATCTGTCCAGGCTTCTTCCAATCTCCAATGCCCAAGCGTCTCCCTACTGGGACCCACCTTGGGCAGAGGGAGGCTTGTCTTTGGAGAATCCGACAGGAAGCCAGCAGGCACTGGAGGCACCCCAGAGCATACCACATTGAGAGTGTAGGGGAAGTCACTGCTCAGTCCCCTGGGAAGGGAGGACCCAGGAGAAGGGGAGGAGGGTCGGCAGAGTCTCAGCAGGCTATTTGAACTGGATCCTCACTGTGATTGTGACACAGTGACCGATCTCTGGTATGCTGGTGAGCTGGGGTAGAAAGTGAGGCTGCAACAGGATTCCACGGACAGCCTACAAAAAAACCAGCAGGGCCTGGGAAGACAGCTCCATTTCAAACCGATGTCATGTTGGTGACTTCATGACGCTGGTGATCCCGTAACCTTCTATAATCTCGCTAGCAAGCTGGCTGAGGGCCCATCTGGAGGTCCCATTCCACCCCCATATCCCTAACCCTTGTAGACCTCACACACATTATGGCTCTTCTCTCACTGGATTTTTACTATTGACATGCTGTCCCACAGCAGACTTCATCCCTCACAGTGGGGACTATGCATGGCTTGTTCACCTCTCTAACTGCCCTAAGTCTTAACTACAGTGTCTGGCACATGAGTGCTGTGTTTGTTGAGTAATGAATGAATAGGTGTGGGAGTGGATGCCCATTTCACAGATGAGGAAACTAACGCTGAGGAAGGAGAATAATAATGAACCAACATTTTCAATGTGCTGAATACATGTTGCTTCATTTACTTTCAGAACATTCTAATGAGGTAGATATTATTAACAGGCTCATTTTTACAAATAAGAATACTAAGGCTAGAGAGAGATTTAGGGTAAGTTAGCAAGTATCTTTCTCAGTTCAATTCAGAAACTCAAGTGGGACTGGGAACAGAAATAAATAGCATTTTAAAATCTATTCTGTCAACAATAGATTTTTATTCATTGGATTTTATTGATTGATTGATTTCTATTTATTAAAATTAGATACTAGTTATTGTACTAGTCTCAGGTTGGTCAAAGATGAGCAAAGCATGGTCCCGGTCATTATAGATTCATTCTCAGTAAAGAGCTATTTGCTGAACACCTACTATGTGCCAGGGGCTGGGGGAAACAGCCCTAAATAAGGCAGATGTGAAGCCTGACTTCAGGGAGTTTCTTGTCTAAGAGGCAACAGGAACCAGTTCAGCATCAGAAGGGGAATCACCACGCACTGGGCCCTGCGCTGTGTGCTTTGCTCTCATCCCGTCTGCTCTCACAATGACTGTCTCTGAAGTAGGCATTGAGATCCCAGCTTAAGAGAAGGGGAAACTCACACTTAGGGGTGTGACATGACTTGGCCACACAGGGGAAAAATTGCAAATGTAAGAGAAAACCAGATTCATCCAGTGCTGGGATCTATGCTCTTTCTGTTAATAATACTAATAGTAACTAAGCTTAATGGGGCACACATTATGTGCTAAACCCTTAAAATAGCATTGCATAGAAGTTCACTTAGTTATTCCTTACAACAATCTCATGAGATAGGAACTATTGGTACTGGCATTTTACAGAACAGGAAACTAAAGCACAGAGATTTTAAGGATCTTACCCAATGTCACACAGCTGGGAAGTGGCAGTAGAGAGATTTGAACCCAGTTGGTCAGGCTCCAGAGCCCTTAAGTCTTTCAGAGTCTATTGCTCCCCTTTTAGCATGCCAAGAGAACAGGTGCTATAGGAAGTCAGAGCTGGGAAAGAACACTGGCCTCAGGCAGAATTTTCACAGGCTTGAAGGGAGGATTATATGAGTTCACTCAGCCATTCAATAAGTATGTATCGGGTACCTGCTATGTTCCAGGCAATATACCAGGCTTTAGCAAAATAATGAGGAGCAAAGATAGATACATTGTTCCCATCATGGAGATTACAGTCTTAAGGGGAAGAGGAGTTTAAATAATCTCCCAAATAAATCTGCAAGCTGAGATAAAAGTGAGCGATGGTGCTGAGATACAAGTGAGCGATGGAATGACAGATCTGGACCTAGACTGGGGTTGAAGGAGAAGTGGTCAGGGAAAACATCCTCTAAATGGAATTACCTAAGCCAAGAGTGACGGTGAGAACACCCAGGCTGAGGGGACAGCATATGCACAAGTCTTTGGGTGGAGAGAATGTGCTAACTTTTGAGAACAGACTAGTCAGTATGTCTGGAGCAGAGAGAGTGAAAGGGAAAGACAGGAAGCATCACTGAATGATTTAGGGCAGGAGTAGGAATGTGTGTGCAGGGGTGGGTGGGTGGGTGGATTCCGATTAACATTTTTAAAAGGCTACTGTAGCTAGACTGGGAAAATAGAATGGAAGGCAGGAGTGAATGAAGTGGGAGCCTTTCAGAGGATATTGCAATAGCCTATGGTGGCTTGGGGAAGGAAATGGCAACCCACTCCAGTACTCTTGCCTGGAAAATCCCATGGACGGAGAAGCCTGGTAGGCTACAGTCCGTGGGGTTGCAAAGAGTC